TCCAACTTCACAGTCCTATACTGGCAGATTCCCATAACCAATAGTAACATTTCAAATAAACCACAGCCAATAGGAAATAGCATTGGAAATAGCATTGGAAAGCTTTTCCAATATTAATGCAGATCCTAAAGCTCTTTCCTGTTCATAACCCTCATTTTCCATTGATATTCTTATGAGCTTTTCTCTTTTGTAATGTCTCTCGGCGATCTCTTTCTACACTCTTCAAATCTTGCTTGTTCTCTCTCCTCCACCTAAAGCTGATTGGCTACACGTTTGTTGTGTCAGACCAACTTTCAAACAGCGTTGTTCAACTATCGCTTACCCTACCTTTCAGGGTAGTTTCAAAGTTAATTTGGACCATTTGATTCAAAAGCTGTTTAAAAAAAATGAGGTTAAAAAACATGTTGATAAGCGATAGGCATGTTAAAAGGTTTATTATAGACATTTGGAGACAAAATCTGTGGGGCAGCACAGTTTCACCGTGAGTTAGTCCCGGTTTTAAAGAGCACTGAAAGGATTTAAAACACCCTAATTCACCAATTATGTTTTTTGCCAAATTAATTTTCTTACCTGTTTTGACATAACTAAATCAAAAGCCATGTTATGACTCAAACACCACATCACACTTTCCCACCCTTTTGAAAAATTTACAAAAGACTTTGATCATGTTCAAGCTGTACATGTGAATACACAATGCTAACCAACAACAGAAAGCTGCTTAACCCTCTGGGGTCGGCTATCGCGCCGGCGCGACAAGCTCACTTTTTTAAACAATTGAAAAAAGCACAAATGAAAATGTCACAAATGTCAGGGAACATCTTAGACCCCAGAGGGTTAATTTGAAAGTGACTTCTAGTGTGCTGTGCATCATAAATCTCTTCACTATGCTAGTTTTTTCAAACAAATTTGCCAAAATCTTGCGATTCGCAAAAAGATTAAAAACACTGTATTATGCGCATCCCAGGCCAGTAGTTGTCAATGTTACTTTGTAAAAAAACACCATACACCTATAGACTGAATATGATATTAGCATGCTCCAGGTATGTGACTAGGGGTCGACCGATAGGCTATGTGATTTTCAGGGCCGATGCCGATAACGATACCGATTATTACAGACCAAATAGACCGATAACCGAGATATATTATAGCCCATCTCTGGTGTAAAACTGTAAATTAAATGTCAAAATTAAGAAAGTTGACAAATACTTTCTTTAAATGATTTTAAACCTATCTTTGAATCTGAGAACTGTTATTAATAAATAATGATAATACAATTTGCTGCTGCCTTAACTTAGAGAGACAACTGATGGGTGATCAGTGAAGCAGCTCCAGTCAGCGAGTGATCTCGGTGAGAGTGCAAAACTTTTAGTGCTTAATTGCTTGCCGCGCTGATTGGCCGGTCCCGTGACTCCCAACAAATCAGATGTGTGGGGACATAAGTCTAGTCTACAGAGTGGTGAGTTCCGACAGAGGTGGCTGCGTTAGACCCAAATATAGCGCATTTCAAAATAAAATTATTTTATCAGCAAATCGGTTTGCCGATACCGATAACCAAAAATGCTTAATATCGGCGCCGATAATCGGTCGACCCCTATTTGTGACTGAGGAAATTTTCCCAACAAATAATACATGTGACAACACCGGTAATAACAGTATCAACAGGGGGGAGAGACCTCTTTTTCACCTCGCTTTTAAATCACTAATTCGAAAGTAAAATGCGCTCGAATTAGCACCAATTTGGATATGGCAATTGCTTGAATGGTGGGTTCATTATTATTCTTAATGGAAAACATAACAAAACTGTACAATGGCAAACTTGCTTAAATAGGTGCTTTTACGTTTCGTTTAAAACCAAATCTTCTGCCATCTTCATGTCAGTCAAGAGTAAGCCGAAGTGGGTGAAGTGAGGAGAAATCTGACTCCTGCTGCTGATCTGTGCTGCGAGTCCTGCGACACTCGTTCGGCTCACGCTCCATTGAGCATTCTCTAACTGAACTAAATGAATTTTATTACTATAAAAAAAAAATCTAAATGACAGTGGAGGGCGGTGCACCGGTGGGCAAGAGAACACCGACTATCGCAGCAAGCCTCGCACGCCACCGTTTTCACAATTACCCAAATTTTACCATGGAGATGAAAACGCTGTTATCAAAAACTTGCACTTGGAAATTCATTTTCAAAAGTTTGCATTTTCAGGCCCCTCAAAATGCCATTATCGTGCAAATGAACAGCCAAAACACTAAAAGATTTCCATTTGAAAGTAGTGTCGTCGTGTAAATGGCCCCTTAGATCTTTAATCCGTCTGATCACCTCCAACACATTCTCTGAATTTCTGTTAAGAGTTAGCAGAACTGAGCTCGGTCTGGACCGGCCCCAGGGGGGATTCTACACCCTTCAAATGATCTTGAACTGTCCACATGTACACACACGAGTGCATTCTCAAACACAGACACTCACGAGGACAAGCCCACTAGAAATCCATTTCTCTATTGATTTTATGGGACCTGATAGCCCTTTTGCTCCCTCTCCGCTCAGCTCTGAGGACAATACCAAACACCTACAGCAGAAAAAGCCTCAGGAGGTCTAACATGGTTCCTCCTTGCATGCATACATGTGCATTTACAGGCAAATAGGAGTTCGATGAGAGGATGAAATATGCAGGAGGGTAAATGGACAGGGAAAGTCAGTGTGAGAAAATGAAAGGGGGAATCGGGTGGACAAAAGAGATAAAGGGATGAGGAATGAGAGCGGGAGAGGCAAAGAGAGAGAGGGCGCTTCTGTATTGAGAGCAGATGGTGTTGAACTCAGGGGATTTCAGTGTGCCGAGCTTCTCTCATTATCAAAGCGGCCTATCTGATCTCAGTCAATATCACACACACACAGCTACTGTATATCCAACTAGTCAATATCACATATACACTCTAAGGTAAAGTACCTCTGATTATCAATCCAGTTAATATCACATACTTACCCCGAGATGCATTTAAACATCAGGAGGACAAATCATAGGACAGAAAAAGAGTGAAGTCTTGCTTAAGGACAAATGGCACCAAACAAAGCTTAGACACACATGTGCTAGACTAGTTGGTGCAGTGGCGGCAGCAGGCAGGCAAAGCAGGTAGCTTGATGCTCACTCCATCAGACAGGTATTTCCAGTCTGGGCTTTTTAGCAAAGTGTGTGTGCAGTGCGGCTCAGCCACAAAAAGCAACTGCCAGTAGGCAAACACACCTGAGCTTAAAGCGCAACACCTGAGATACTAGAACCCACCCACTATGCACATGCATGCATGGTCATAGTGGCCATGAGTAATTTTTTTGTTTGACTTTTTTTGCATGCGTATGTCATCAAAGCCCTGCTCCTATCTCGTAACAGTATATGAAAGTCTAGGTGCATGAACACATGTGCGTGTGTGTGCATCTGCTCCCACCAGCTTGTTGTCCATGTCAAAAAGGAAGTGCTGTGGCAGATTAAGGCCATCGTGTAACAGGAAATAAGGATGCCAGAGGCTTGAACACTTTTTATTTTGGAATTTCCATTCGGCTATACAGAAATCGTAAAGCACCGTGATGCCGTTGGATGGACAGGGCAATCAGGTCAATTATTAACTTAAACCCTAAAGTCGGAGGGAACAATTGTCCTATAATGTGGAGGAAAGCGCTGTGCTATTTTGGACCAGCGAATAACAACATTAGGCATCTAAAACAGAAGAATAGTCACAGCTTGTGTAATTGAATGAATGCATGTCTTTCTGCTTGCACGCCCTAGTACGACAGAGTATAAAATCTGCCGCTAAATATGGACCATGAAGTGCTAAAAAGTCAATAGGAACGCTTAGATCGGTGTGGGGCTCATCAGAACTTATGCAAACATTAACGAGGTAATAAGGAGTGCAATTTGTTCTGTCTTCAGGAAAGACGCCCGATCGTGACCCTTAATAGCACAAAGTCTGCCGAGTTCTTCACATACTTGCTGACAAAGCTTTAACTCTTTTTATGAAGAGATCAGAGCTCACATGAAGCCAGCATGCAACTTTCCATTTTTTAAAAGAAGCTGGTTTAACACCTAGTTTAAGACTGAAATGCCCTGCCTTACTGTATTACGGTTTTCAAGTAAAGTAGATCCAATTCATTTTCAATCAATTAACTTGCAGCTATTTCAATTTTTTTTTAAACACTGAATTGTTTTATTTTAAAAAGTTTTGATTTTCATCGCAACTAGGGATGGGCAACGATTAATCGCATCCAAAATAAAAGTATGTGTTTACATAATATATGTGTGTGTAGTGTGTATAATTAATTTGTATATACAAATACACACACATGAATGTATACATTTAAGAAATATTTGCATATATACTTATACATAATTAATTTTATATATAAATAGAAATATTTGATATATTAATAACACATTTTGCTTAAATGTATACATGCATGTGTAGGTATTTATATATACAAATTAATTATACACACACATATATTATGTAAACACATACTTTTATTTTGGATGCAATTAATAGTGATTAATTGTTGCCCATCCCTAATCGCAACAAATATTGGAAATCATAATAATACATAAAATGACATTTAAAAGTTTTGCTACAGCCCCGACACAAATTATACCAGTAATTTTGTGAGGTAATGTTAAGTGGCTGTCATACAAGTTTGCATGGATGTGCACATGTACTGTACATGTGATATAAAATTCAATTTTGAAAACCCCATAAATATAGCTTGTTCAATCAGTCCAATAATTCCATACAACAACACTACACTAATTAAATATAGTAAAGCCCAAACCTTGATATCTTCATCCCCTATCCTGTCAGATATGTTCAAATATAACCACAGTTGGATAGTTGTCCTCTGTAAACCATGTTACAACCAAATATGGGACAACGTGATAGTGTTAGAAAAAAAACCCATGTTTATTGTCCACCCTCAAAATGAAATGAGATCCATAACCCAAAATTAGACTGGAGGTTTAAAACCCATCTTACCTGCTCCGGAGTTTCTGTGCATTCCAGGCCCTGCGTGTCTGTGGGCGCCTGGGGAAAGCATGCTCCCGGGTGGGCGCAGGTTTTCCATGTGTCCATGAGCAGCTCCGAACTGCTGCTGCTGCTGTTGGTGTTGGTGGTGGTGGTGGTGATGATGATGGCTTATTCCTCCAGCTGGACTTAACGCACCACCGCCACTCCCAGCATTACCGTTCGAGTTAGATAATCCACCGTGGTAAAATCCAGACCGCGACCGTGATCGAGTCCTGGGTGGCTCCATAGTCACTGGATAGGAGTGATGATGATGATGATGGTGGTGGTGGAAAGGGGAAGTGGGAGGGGAATGAGACGTCGCAGAGGAGCTCTCAAGCGCTCCAGAAAGTCTAGTGCTGCCCAGGCTGTGGCCCCCCTCCGAACCCCCGTATTCCGCTGGCTGGGCCCCTGCGTCCTCGCATAAATCAGCACGCTTGGGAACGGGGTCCGGGGAACAGACGCGGGGCTCTCGAGATGCTGAATGACCAGTAGTGGCGATTGGCATTTCCTTTCGGCTTATACAATTCCCCCTCTTCCTCCTCTACGATTCCACGCCAGAAAACACAGATTAAAAACACTGTTTAAAAAAATAAAATACAAAAAACACAGTTCAGTCATTAAAATACTTACAAAAACACTGTTTAAATACGGTCATTAAAACATTAACAAAACAAAAAAGTTTTATTATTAAAACGCTCTAAAACAGTTGCTAAAACATTTGAACAAACCAAAAACTTTTAAAACATATTGGATTCATAAACTTAAAATTAAATTTACAGTAAAATCAAGCAGTTTTGGAAGCCAGAATTTCACAGTAAAACAATAGTGACATCACTAGAGAGCATTATCCATAAATTTATAGTTTCTAGTTACATAAGTGATTCAATTTTATAAATCGATTTGATCCATTAAATAATTATATTGACAATACGCAAAAAAAACTAAAATACTATACTAACTTATAAAAAAACAAGTATTAAGTTACAAATAACAAACAAAAGTTAATCACTTCATTTGATTATTTAACTTTAAGAACCTTTAAAACCTTTTAAACCTTTAACTGTACTTTAAAATACCTTACAGTAAAATTACATGTATTGAAAAAATACCTTACAGTAAAATTACATGTATTGAGTCTTATATATATATATATATATATATATATCATACTATACAAGTATAACTGGTATATAAATAAAATTTATGCGGTTTAAAAAAGCCTCTTTTTGTTTTAGTAACTTAATTCCTTCTAGGCGTGTCCTACTTACTACATGCAAATCTTATATAAAAATATCAATACAATTCCTTGTTGTCCCTTTAATGGTATTTAAAGCATTTTAAAAACATTTTAGACGCCAAACTTCCGAACCCACGCCAAGTCTAAAGCATAAACAAAAACTAAAAACAACACAAAAACTAGCTTTGACTAGCTAGCTACACCAACACAGCACGCACGTGCGTTATGTTTATGCTAATAAAGTATGTAAATAAAAGTATACAAGTAAGAGGGAGCAGCTGGTTATCAGACACTTCCGTGAAGCGCTAGCGTTAGCTCCCAGCTACACAAAAACACACAAATAAACATAATATTGCCTGTCTACTGTTCTTTTAACACACCTAACACACAAATATACTATATCGCAACACGTCTTGCTCGTTCACACAGTGTTTAACTGATCTGAATCACATTTAGAGAGAACCCATGTACGTTGGATGTATTACGTTAGCTTATGTTAGCTGTGAACGTCGCGCTGGCTTTAGTCCACCATCTGCCTTTAGTCTCACAAAACTACAACAAATAAAGACCTTGTCGTCCTTTAAAGCCTCAGGGCCACATGTCCCGTCATGAACATCGGCTCATCGCTGATGAATCTGCTTGGGTTGAGACAAACATTTATATGTATAAACTGTTTGTGGCGATCCGTGAGGCGAAGCGCTTTAAAGTCCCTAATTATATTTACATCAGTGGAAAAAACGGTTAAAATGGCTATTTTTTTCCACTCCTCCCACTCAAACAAACGCATATATATATCATCTATAAAATGAAAAGCGGAACTCACCCGGAGCTGAGTGGAGCTGTGCGTTATGAAGTGTTTTTGAGCTGATCTTGGCGTGGTGCTCCTCCGCTCAGACGGTGTCAGTGAGAAATAATGTGACAGACCATCAGCGCGATTTCACAGCTCCAGCACAGCAGACCAGAAAAGCCGAGCACAGAGCGTCGGTCAATGCACTAGATGAGGAGCAAACAGAATGGCACTTACCGCTCTCTCTTACCCAAATTGTTCACAAACGAGGCCCATTTCACAGTCCCAAATTTTCAACTGAGAACAAAGACAAACTCCTATAATTATAAAAGGGAAACAATTCTTAAACCAAAGAAAAGACAACTGCACCTTCACTTAAATGTATTATTATTTACATTAATTATTATTTACAGACAAGTAGCCTGAATGATATAGGCCTACTCCAATATGTAGGCCTAGGCTTATATGCTACAAATTATAGTTCAGAAAAATATTACTTATGTATCTTTAAACAGTGTAAGCAATGTACAAGGAGAAATGTCTCAACGTTGTATTAGAAATAGGCCTAATGATGATTTTTAGTTAGGTAAACATAGCATTATTAGCATACTATACTATAGCCTACTTAGTGATTTGCTTGATTACCAATCAAATAGCCTAGTTATCATCTTCAAATGTCCCCTTGTTTAGACTGAAATGTACAGTATTTTGTCTTTAAGTTTAGCCTACCTTTTTGGTCAACAGTAGACCATTTAAATATATATAATTTTTCGTATTATCGTGTGCTGTTTTTGTTTCTTATTATTGCCAACTTTAATGGCATAAAGTTCAAATTAAAATAAAGTTCTGAAACAAATGTACAAATATAAACAATATTATTTTAATTATTTATTAATATTTTCCTTTTAATTATTATTATTATTATTATATATTTATTTATTATATATTTTATATATGTATACATTTAATAAACATTTTAACAATAATTGTTAATATTATCATTATTTGTTATTAAATACCTAGGTGATACCTATGAAATCGATTGTGTTTCTATTGCTCTGGTCTAGATGGAGCACTGAAGGGAATGCAAAATAGAGAGATGCGCCGCTGAAGGGGAAACGCGTGAATAATTTACAAATGTTAGATGCTTCTCCAATTTATCTCGACAACGCGTGTAAACTGCCTCTATTCACTTAAATATCATCTGCAATTGTTCGGTTAATGCAAACGTTTGATTTGCTTCGTCTGTGGTTAACACGGGGCATTCTCCAGGGCTTGTTTTTGGACATTTAAACCTGATCACGCCTCTTTTTGGCTTGTAGCAATAGTGTGTGGACAGAAGTCGACCAAGGCAAAAAGAAAATTTAATGAAACTCACAAAAGTGTGATATTTACTTTTAAGTGACATGATTCTAGATTAACTTCCCTTGGTCTTGGATTAATGTATTTTCGTTTAAGTATCAAACGTGAAGATGTAGCAGGCTATTCTGAGACAGTAGCCTATATAGAGGAGCTTCTTTTTAACCTTGCTCCTTTCTTTCATTTTGATGAACTGATTTAACCCTGAAATAAATGTGTTCTGGGTTAAATAAGACATTAAATGAGTTAACAGATCAGCATTTTTTCTTCAAGAAGTCTTCAATGAGCCACATAGGAGCTGTGTTGTGTGGGTGTATGAGTCCCATTTTATAATCCCACCTTGACATACTGTTTTTATCTCACTTTCTTTTGAAAGTCACATGCACATCATATGCTTTCCAGAATGCGTTTATGATGGACTATTTAATTATGTCCTTTTATCTCTTTATTTCTAAGCCCTGAGCCCAAAGTAAGCTCTTTCCTGGTTACATTGAAACGCATAGAATCCATAGGCTACTACACATATAGTAGGCGTGTTCTGTAGTGATAATTTAAAGATTGGGCGAGAGATGGCAGCAAGAGGGGCTGCTATGAAAGGAAATATGGGGGAGTGAATGATAGAGAGTGGGATATAGGGGGATGGGTAGAGAGAGGATGGGGGTAGGGAGGTGTGTGAGAGTGTGTGTAAGGGGGGGTCTGCTGATATGCCCTCTTATTGGTTTGTTCAAATGGTGGGGGAGGGGCACCCTGCATACACCAGCTGTATGGGGAGAGAGAGAAGAAACAAAGGGTGAGATGGCGAGGGGGGGAGCATAGCGTGCATTTCCTCACTAATATTCAGGGATAATTAAAATTCAGGCAGGGCAGATGATTTAAAATCCTGATATGCTCAAATTAAAAATTAACATGCACCCAGATTATGATCTCTTTCAATATTAAACACACAAAAAACTAGTGAAAAACTTGCTTTTAACTAGCCTATAGAACTCTTTTATTAATCCTTGAAGAATATTTTACAGTAACTTCATGTTTTCAATTGTTTTATCCAGTGCCCATTCCCAGCACCCTTTTCCTTAACCTTGACCAGGCAGATTTTATTCATCGAGAGATCTTTGTAATGCGGTGAAATGTGCATACGTACATAAGCCAGTGGAAGCTGTGCTTTGCATTATTTATTTAAAGGACAAAGGAATTACTGGAACCCTCTAAAACCAGTCTCAAAAAAGAGAGAGCGAGCAAGGAGGAAGAGAGCAGACTGGGTGAGAATGAGCGAGAGAAAGAAGGGGGGAAAAAACACAGGAAATGAGAGAGGGAGAAGGGAGGAGAGCTCCCGGCCTCTTTGCGTTTTAAGCCAAACCAAATCTGAGGGAATTGGCATTGGCCGCTTCGCATGAGAACCGAGAGGAAAAAACTATAAGACAGAAAAGGGTTGAAGAGAAATGCCAAGAATGCAAAGGCAAGAATCAACACATTTAAGAGTCTTTCGTTCTGCTGGCTGACTCGCTCGCTTTTTTCTGAATGCAATTATAAACTACCACATTTTCACACTGTAAGCTGAAAGCCGGTTTTCATTAAGACACGTCGACTTGGGTGTTGGTAGTCAGCCTTAATTAGTGGAAGACCTGGTGGGCCTGTAAACATAAAACATGCCTACTAAACCTAAAGGTTCTTCTAAAATGGTGCTTTCTGGTACAAGCAGCTGGGACGTCTTTAAGCGGTCTTTGAAAAGTTAGACATCACCATTTGGGTGGGACAGACGAGTTTACTGATTTGGATCGCTGTGATGTCTTTTGGAGTAAAAATAGTGGGATCCTGGTCTAGGCGTCCCATGACGCGTCTTCCCCGTTAACATCAGAGGTTGTGTGTGTTTGCCAAGGTTTCTATAGTGCGTCGGGCGTAGATTCGCTGTCTGCTTTCAAGTCACATGGCCCATGGACGTCATGCCAAAACCTACTGAGACTTACAACAACACACACAGTCATTTGTGCCAGCTTGTCTCTGGCCTGTGGCTCTTAAGTTAACATGCCACATACTGTTCACATTAACATGCTTTATGACACGCATGTCACTATGCACTGTTTTTCAAACATAAAGTCCCATAAAAGCCAAACCAGCATACTCACGAATTGTGAATTTCTCAGATTTGCTAACAAGTAACTCTTATGAGAAAGTTATTTTAATAAAACTCAGAAATTCAACATGGAATTAGCATGTTGAATTAGTCTGATGAATTCTTCATCGAATGAACCCTTGGTTAGTTAAAGTGGCTATAATAAACTAAGATATTGACTAAAGTTTACATATTGAAGCGGTAACACTCCGATAAAACCAGAACTAACGTTACTCCACAAACTGCATAAAAACACTGTTTTCATCAGCGGAATGCATGTTGATGATGTTGCTCATTACCGCCATCTGATGTGTCGGAAGTTTATTAATATAAACTATAAGGCCCTGTTTACACGAGAACGCTCGCGGGTGAAAACGTAAAAATATTTTTTGAGGCTCAAAAACGCTGTTGCCGTGTAAACGAAAGGCACATCCGATAAAATATTTTTACGTTTTCACCCGCGAGCGTTCTCGTTCTGGCACAAAAAAGAGAAACCATCCTCCAGAGTGGAAATCTTAGGCTATGTTTACACGGAAACGATTCTAAAGAGAAAACGCAAAAGTGGCATTGTGTCATCTTTTTTTATTCTGCGTTTAGACGAGCGTTTTGTGTGGGAAATCCGTGTGCAAATGAGACGCAAAAGTGTGTGAAATTCAAAGTATAGTGTGCACTTCAGGCAGCTAGGAGTGCAAACTACAACAACACCAAGTCCACGCGCTTGCGTACAACCCTCACTGTCAAGCAGACTTTTGCGTTTTTGCCTCAAAAACGCCGTCGGTGTGTAAACGAAAAGCACATCCGATAAAGTATTTTTACGTTTTCACCCGCGAGCGGTCTCGTGTAAACGGGGCCTTAAAAACGCTCCACCGACGCGTTCCCGTGTAAACGGTAAAAACGCAAAAGTCTGCTTGACGGTGAAAGTTGTACGCAAGCGCGTGGACTTGGTGTTGTTGTAGTATGCACTCCTAGCCGCCTGAAGTGCATGCTACATTGAATTTCACACACTTTTGCGTCTCCGTTTGCACGCAGATTTCGCACACAAAACGCTCGTCTAAACGCAGAATAAAAAAGATGATGCAACGCCACTTTTGCGTTTTCTCTTAAGAATCGTTTCCGTGTAAACATAGCCTAAGTGTCATGACAAAAGAGCGCTACAGGGAAGATTTTTGTAGGTTAAAACCCAGAAACAAGTCAACATTTTTGCACATTTTAGCTGGTTTTATCGTCCTGGAGTCAATGGTTTTATTTGAATAGGATTTTGGTTAAATGTCTGAAATAAGTTCTGTGTTTAACACAAAAAGATGTTTTCACGTTTTATTCTATGACAAAAGAAATTCTCCTTTATTATTGTTTAGCATGTGGCTAAATAGGACAACAGCAGTTGTGGGGAACATGTACGTGTAGATCCTTCTGCTTTCACAGACTTTCTGTGTTTATAATCAAACTATTTTTAAACTTTAAGGGAAAACGTATTTTTAAATAAAGATTGAAAGAGTTGTCAAGAGCTTAGTGATGGTGAAGCCAAAGTAAATTAACCATGGTGTAGTTTTTTATAGACCATGTTATAGCTTTCTAATTCTGTCAATTGTTTTTAGGCTTCTGTTCATAAAAGTGGTGTTCATTTGTTATGATGATCAAAACTGTAAGAATCATAAACTTTTGGTCACAGACACAGAGCTTATTTTCAGCAATAATCTAAAAGCCAATGGAAAAGTTGGGTTTTTGTTGAAGGAACCAGGATTGGCCTACACAAATTATGTTATCACTGCACTGACCTGCACTGCAAGACAGCAAAATATTCTCTCTATTTATCTTTAAATCTAATTTTTATATCAACCATTAGCATTATGGTAATGCAATGAAATGAATGTCTACCTGATGTAATAGAATGGCAAGGAAAACAAAACAAATTCAACTAAAATACAACATTTGTAATGTTTTAATTAAGCAATTTATTCATGTTTATATTCATTTTAGTATTATTACTTTAATTTTCTTTGAATATTTAACTCTAATAGGGGGTTCCCCTTATTATACAGCTTTTATATAATTATAGCTCTATAAATTGATCATATGATAAAGTATGAAAACCCCTGTACTCTTACACTTCCAAAGTCAAATTTTGCTGCACACTGTATATTGCCATTTTCACAAGGTCTAATACAAAAAAGGTGTATTATTCAGAATATTTGAATAACTTTTTTTCAACAACATTGTACATTTTAAACAAAGCTTTCACTACATTGAGACACTGACACAACTTACCCCAAAGCATCAGACTCACTTTATCCCACAGCTACCATTGGGATGCTTCATTTAATAATTCATGGCTAATCTTTCGCCAAATAATTTACATGTTCATTGGCAATTCCCCAACATGTATAATGTATATTTTCAGAGCTGAATACATTTGCTTTGACCAAAAATTAATTGTATGTACCATGCATAAAATGTACTTTGAAATGCAAACAACAGTTTTGAATAAAAAAATGGCTGCCGCATTTCTTGTGTTCATCCCCCAGTCACTGGCAACTGTATATGGTGAGTACTTTCTAAATATTATGAATTCACATGGCAAAAATGACGCACAGTTGCCTTGATTAAGAGGGCGACAAAGCCTACCCCACTCTCTCCTACTCTTATTCTATCCACTCTCCTCCATTTCTCAGCCAGAAAGAAGAGGATTTAGGCTAGTTTTTAAGAGCCAAACCAAACCAGCATGAAAAAAGGACAGAAGAGAAGCCCTCCCTTCCTCTAACCCTGTTTTGCTCTTCTCTGTGTAGTTTGGCAGAGTGTGTGTGTGTGTGTGTGTGTGTGCGGTCTGTGTGAACAAGCGCTCATGTGGACAGGGCTCTGACTCTGGCTGTTTGGTGAAGTTCCCAGTTAGGCTTGATGGGAAATGCTTTTTTATCCCTCACTGAATGAAGTTGGTTCAGCATACACAAGTCTGTGTAGAGTAACCATTGGACCAAATGCTGAGAAGAAACTCATGTCTGATGCTTACCTGCCCAACAGAAACCTACTATATTTAACCCTCTATGATACGTGTTAAAAATAAATTACAATTCCGCAGTTTGGGGGTGGTACGAATTTCCCAGCAAACACAGAACGTTCCCGAATGGTCCCATGAGGTTATTTTTTTGGGGAACCAAACAAGAACGTTATAGGAACGTTCTATGTAGGCTATTTTTAGGTTCCATTTTTATAAAGTAGAATGTTCTAGGAACGTTTTGGGAACCAAAAACTAACGTTCCCAGAACCAAAATTTGTTTGCTGGGTTTTTATGTTTTTGAAAAAAGTATCTTATGCTCACTAAGGCTGTATTTATTTGATAAGAAATCCAAAAAAACTGTATAGTGAAAAAAAAATTAAATTTAAAGGGTTAGTTCACCCAAAAATGAAAATTATATCAGTATTTACTCACCCTCATGTTGTTCCAAACCTCTATGTGTTTATTTGTTCTGCTGAACGCCAAGGAAGATATTTGGAAGAATGTTTTAATCAAACAGATTTCATTCCCCATTGACTACCATAGTATGTATTTTTTCCTATTTGTCAATGGGGAATGAGATCTGTTTGATTAAAACATTCTTCCAAATATCTTCCTTTGTGTTCAGCAGAACAAATAAACACATAGAGGTTTGGAACAACATGAGGGTGAGTAAATACTGACAGAATTTTCATTTTTGGGTGAACTAACCCTTTAAAGTAACCGTTTTCTATAAATAATTAAAAAAAATCAAATGTAATTGATTCCTGTGATGGCAAAGCTGAATTTTCAACATCATTACTCCAGTGTAACAAGATCCTTCAGAAATCATACAACAGTAATCATTCAGCAATCTACAAATCAGTTGCAACGAAACACCCTAGGTGAGCATTTCCCATTTATTATATGGATGAAATCATTAGCAGGAATTACAGATTGAACTGTTAACCATAACAAAGCTATTCAAATGTGTTTTCCCTTTCCTTATGCGTATAAATCGTGCTAAACTGAGGGCAATAGTGCATTGCAACTTAAGCCAGACTCTTATTCATCCTTTATATCTCAACACGCACACACACAAAACACAATCTCAGTCTCGGCTTCAATGATTCTCCTTCTCACGGCTTTCTGTTCTCATTCAATCGAGCACCTTTTGGTGATGTCATCTCTGTATATGTGTGTGTGTGTGTGCACGGAAGCAGTTTTGGGTTTCTCCTAAACTCCCATTCTCCCACACTGGAGCTTTTTAATCTCTCGGATGGAGAGAAAGAGGATGAAAAAGCCAGAGCGGACAGATCGAGGGGTTGAGAAGCGGCGACCATGACAACACATGAAATCTGAGCGGCTGACATCTGTGTCTCTCTCGTTCTCTCTGTCCCTCTCAATCTCCCTCTCTGTTGTTTCTTTGACTCGCATCCAGCAAACAACCCACAAGCTTTCATTTCATAATAGACTCCGACAAGTCCGATGACCTCACACGGCCCAAGACATCATCTTTGATTTCAAACCGCAATGACTGGCCACAGCAGAAGTGTGAATGAAGTCTCTCTATAACATCAAGACTGACTTAAGCCCAATCCTGCTATGACAGACTCATCATATCACAGCACCCACACACACACTTCTGACCAACATTTTCCTTCTTTCTGTCTTCTGACTGTTCGAATTGTTGAGCATATTTACTTTTGAAATCATTTCTTGCTTCCTGTCACTGCACCTCTTGCCACATCCTTTGCTGCACCGAGAGGCTGTCACAGTTAAGACGCTCACACATTTCCGGAATCTCAACATCTTGTGCATCAAAACTACTACAGATCCGCTACAACCATGGTGAGCTTCTGTCCTATATGTGGGAAACCTGTTTATTTTGGTGAGTGGCATCTGGGGGTTGGAGGGATTCATTTTTAACAGGCTTAAAACTGATTAAGATGATATTGGGGTATTATGTAGTTATAAACGTCTATATAAAGTGTTGAGGTGTTTGGTGTTATGTGTTTAGATGCAACCATTTTACATTAGCTTCTGTTTTGACTCAAAAGTGCTCATTATTTTGACTTGCTGTTGAGGTATTTCAACAGTATATGGATTATATTGTACCCAAATTTGGGTTTTCATGTCTATTTGTGTGTTAACGTTTATACTGTATGAACAGTAGAGCGTTGTAAAAAGGTCATCGCAGAGCATGCTAAATGCTAAGTTTTGAGTAGCGATTCTGCCTTTGTGCTATATGAATATGCTAACTAACTAAGTGTGTGTAGGCCTTTATCTGTATGCATTTGTGTAGAGTTAATCAGCCTGCAGTCTCCTAACCGCCATCAGCGCCTCACGACATGCGTCACACAAGCACAGGAAGTGTCTGCCTGTGGCAGGATGTGGAATATGCCAGAGCGAAAGAGGCTTGAATGCTTAAATTGGCAGACAGCAATGCAGAAACCAATGGACACTTGAAGAAAGAGGAGAATTCGGACAGAAAAATCTTGTAGCTGCCAGTCAGCTTTCAGCGTCAAGATTGAAGAATAAAGCTCCTTCAGTTATTGAGGTGGACTGCAGGCAGTTGTTGATTCTGCCAGGAACAGAAAAGCTGACCAAGATGTTGGTAGCTGGTTCAGTTTCAGTCTGATCCTGGTTCAACCTAGAGGTTTCATGTCCTATGGTTAAGGTCTGGGTTTCAGTAGAGGGCTAGTTCTAGTCCCACATGAAAGGGTAATAAAAGGGTATATGTAGAACTCAGAATGTGAATGCAATCCAGAAATGAATGTGAAATCAGTCCAAGATGGAAGAATTCAAAGAGTGGAAGTTCATTTTCACAATCTTGATTCCCTTAACTAATGGAATTATTATTATTTATAACAGGCAATCATTTAGACTAATTCTTCAGTATGTAAAAAAAGAAAGAAGATGTATTTATAATAGTGCACTTTTCAATAGGCGTTTATGAGGCAAGTCTAGGGTGACCATATTTTGATTACCAAAAACCAGGACACTCGGCCCAGCAAACAGATGGGCCTACTCAAATGATAGCCTACTCGAAGTTTACTCAAAGAAACCTTATTAATTTCAATACATTTAAAGTAGGTTATGCCTCCTCTGTATGGATAGAAAATTGTTATATTGTTATTTGAAAACAGGACTTGTCCTGGGAAAACAGGACAGTTGGTCATATAGTCTATATAAACAAATAAACTTTATATCACACCAAAGGGCTTCTTTGAGTCGTTTCAGGGATGAGCAAAAATAATTTAACTCAAGATTAATAACACAAAACATTTTTTTTTATCTTCAAAACAACATGCACGTGAGCCGTGTACAATAAGATCAGAAAAATACAGAAGTAGTTCACTTTTAAAAAAAACTTTTGCTGATAATTTACTCACCCCCATATCATCCAAGATGTACATGTCTTTCTTTCTTCAATCAAAAAGAAATTAAGGTTTTTGATGAAAACATTGCAGGATTTTTCTCCATATAATGCACTTTATAACCAAACAGTTCAAGGTCCAAAAGACAGTTTCATTGCAAATTGCAACTGCTGTAAACGATTCCAGACGATGAATAAGGGTCTTATCAAGCAAAACGATCGCATATATATATTTTTTTTAATAATAATAACAAAGTTTAAGTTTTATAAGCTCAAATGGTCGCCTTGCTCCGTTCTGTGATGCACGTTCGTGACTCCTGTTCGAACTCGTTCATCAAAATGAACGAATTTTTTCCCGAGTCAATTTCCTTCGTTAAACCAAATGATACGAAAAAATATTCGTTCATTTTGATAAACTCATTTAAAACATTAATCAGTACAAATAATCAATAGCATATGAATTATACTAAAATAACACTGATTCCAATTGACTAATCTATTGCTGAATGAAAACATGTCTGATTTTTGGATGAAATATCCCTTTAAACTTGGCCCTTTGATTCATGCAGGTGAGAAGAAGAGGTCATTGGGACGGGATTATCACCCATTATGCTTGAAGTGTCACAGGTGTAAAAGACAGCTAACACCTGGTCAGCATGCAGAGGTATAAATATGGCGTATTGTTTTTTAATGCATAAATAATTCCAAACACTGTAAACTGATGATAATGTCATGCATTAAGGTGTTACACTGACCAGATTTTGATTAACACCGTTTTTTACATCTCTATACAGCATGATGAGAAGCCATACTGCACTAACTGCTATTTGAGAGATTTTGGACCCAGAGGTGAGAGCAAACGACTGTATTTATTGTGTTTTAATGATATAATATAATATAATATAATATAATATAATATAATATAATATAATATAATATAATCAACTGTTCTTTGTGCAGGTGGCCGAAAACCTGTTGGCCGGACCTATAACACAGCTACTTCTTAAAAGAGATACACACAGCATCTAGATCTACAAAAAACACCACATCTCTTTTACTCTGCCACAGTAAACCATTGGAAAATACCGACAAGTCGATCTCTCCTTACCACAGAATAAAACATAACTCAGCTCTTATGTTTCCATTCCTCATTAAAACAGCCAGAACCAAATCAACAGCCCTCCGCGTTGGCATTCTCTCAGGGAACTGAACTACTTCATCAAACATTATTCTAGAATTAAGTTGTGTATTTACTGTTTCATCATTTCCTGGCCTTTAGAATGGGAGATGTGAATATATCAGACCATAGAGTAAAACTTAAACTGAAAAGTTTTGGCTTATACAAACATCATGTGTTTTTGGTTTAAAAATGCAAAGTCAAGACTCTGTATACCATTAATTAATTAATTAACTTGAAACACAATGTAATTTTTTGTGGTCTATTATTGTTTGTTCTTTATTTCTTTGATTTGAGGATCAGAGGCTATAAAACAAAGGGTTTTTTTTTCATGAGGCAGCAAATATACAAAGCAAAAATGACAATAATTAATCATTGTGTCTTTTTAATTAGAAGCAGAAGCTTGCGTCCCAAACCTCATGGCGCATATGTGATGGCTTAATCTTTTTTGTTATTCAGGAAGAATACATATTTGATTTTATCATTTTATCTGGGGGGTTTTCTCATTAGTTCATTGAAAAGAAGTGTCACTCAGAGAGCTTCCAGCTAGTGCATTGTCAACTCATTCAGTCAGAAGTATAATTTAATGTCTCTTATCCTCAAATCCATAAAACAAACTGTAAAATGTTTTATAATTTAATAATTATTGTTTGTATTGATCACATTTTTTAATGAAAATTGGAATTGAATTATTAAAGATGTATACCTCAAAAAACTGCCTACAACTGGAATATAAATAATTTATTGTTACATATTTTATTAAAGTAGGCTATATATATATATATACAGTTCAGATGCAAAAGCCTCTAAATGCCATTTGAAATTTTCTTCTTTAATGATGATTTTTATCAAAATTGTATATTTAAGTTCAGTAATTTCACTTAAAATTACTGAACTTAAATATACAAGTTTGATAAAAATCATCATTAAAGAAGAAAATTTCAAATGGCATTTAGAGGCTTTTGCATCTGAACTCTTCATATATATATAGTATATATATATATATATAATTATATTTAGTTATTAATATGTTTTTTTATATAAATAACTATATAAATTACATAAATATAATTTTTATTACTTCTAATTATAGCTGCCAGCATATTGTCAACTCATTCAGTCACAAGAATAATTTCATGCATCTTATCCTCAAATAAACTGTAAAAAATATATATAATTTAACCTTTTGTCATGTATTTTTTTGTGAAGAAAATTAGATTTGAATAATTAAAGGTTTATACCTCAAAATGTAACTGCCTACAATTGAAATATAGATGATTTAATAGTTGCATATTATAAGATAAATGATATAAACATAATAATAATTATATAATTATTAACATTAATTATAAAGCACTTGTTTATTGCCGCCTGCTCATATTCATACGATTTACAAAAACACCCATCGTCAGAGTCAGAGAGAGAAAGAAGCCTGGCAAAAGGCTATTTTCACAAGGCCAGGGCAGTCTGCTGGAATGTGTCTGTGTGAGTGTGAGTGTGAGTGTGAGTGCAGCCTTTCTGGAGCAGACCTACTGCTGGATACCTGCTGTTGATCCTGTCAAACTCTCTCTCTCTCACACACACACACACACACACACACACACACACACACACACACACAGGGCCTGTTTGTGCAGGCATATGTGCATGTGGGAGCACGGCCACATATGTGATTAGCTTCATGCATGAGCAAACATTTGCACTAAGGAAGAACACAAATCAGGTGAAGATCCCAGACTTAGTTCAGTTATCATCACCGCTCCTTTTTTTTTCTTTCAGATTGAGAAAAAAAAAAATAAAAGCACTAAAAGGTGGCATAAAGGAGGTGGATGGATTATTCCAGGGAGCGAGTGAGGGAGGGTGTGTGTGCATGTGTGTAAAGAGGGTTCCCTGCTGCAGCATGTCTTTGAACCCACCCCCACCTTGACAGGTCACATGGTTTGTGTGATGCCAGCTGTCTCATTTGCATGTGTTTTAACTACACCGCAAATCCATCAATTGGGAGAGAAAGGGAGAGAGAAAGAGAGAAGGGGCGGAGATACAAAAAGGGGATGCAGACACAGTAGAAGAACTGATTGATGAAGAAAGAGAGAGATGCCTTCATTCCTATGGGCTTCAGAGATGTGGAGGTTGTTAGATGCCCACCACACCTCAGAGTAGGGATTGTTCATGTTATTGCATTGCATTCAATGGGTATGTCGCTATTCTAGGGCTCGTTTACTTTTCACATCAAGACAAAATACAAAAACAGTAATGCTTACTCAAATAAAATCACTATTGATTTCAGTTTATATATTTCATTAGTGTAACATCTGCTTGTTGCCATTAAACACCATTTGGATGTTATGAGAAAGGATGTTTTATTAAATGTAACTATGGGCATTTAAGTGCTGCACTTCAAGTAACATGCATCTGTTTTGCCATATATATATATACAGTGATTGTTTTTTTAAATCATAATTTTTTTGTGGATATCCATGTGATTTTATTGTTAAATCTGCCTTTTTTTGCAGAAAATCTCATACAATTACTAAATCATCTTTAAAGGGATAGCCCACAAAAATGAAAATTCTGTCATAATTTAGTCATGTCCTTCTAAAAATGTGTGACATTCTTTCTGATGTGGAATGTAAGCAAAAACATTTTGAAGACTGTCGGTAACCAAACAGTCACAGTTCCTCCTTGACTTCCACTGTATACTGACAAAAAATACAATGGAAGTCAATGGGAACCTAAATGGTTTTGTTATTAACATTTTAATGTTCCGCATAAGAAAGAAAGTCATTCCGACCCACTCAATTGGGACACTGTCAAAAACTGTAATTTTAAGAGACATCAAGGCAATTTCCAACAAACTGAAACATATTTGTGAGACTATAATATGATTTTCCTTAATGGATCAAATAAATATTTGTCTCCAGAAAATAGTTAGAAAATAGCCTATATATATAATTATCATCGATGCACATGAAATGTACCCTAAATTGTAGAATGACCATTTGTGTGCCGGGAGTGGGGGCAGAATAATGCATATGCATTCATAAAATACATAAATGGAACATTTTTCGTTCATTTTATTCTTCATTGTTCTCGTTGGCTATTAATAGCAGTAGCATTGTGCTTAATTATTGTCTTAACCAACTTTATTGTCTTGCATTCAAAAATGTGTTAATAAGCACCCTGAAGCACTTCATAAGTCTCGGTTTGTGCTTCTGTGGTGGAGGTTTCACATTCACCCACTCATATCGGTGACAATGTGGATGTAGGAGGCTAATGTCATTGTACTAATCAAAGCCTGGGCTAATAGCTAATGCTATCAAAGAGTGATGAAGCAGTCCATTCATCTTTACAGAGACAGCAGCTCTGCAGACCACACTGTCTGCATGAGAGAACTCTGCTCAAACAATGTGTTGTGAGATCCTCAAACACAAAGACGTGTGGGTATTTTCAACCCTGCAAAGTGAACATGTGGATGTTTTTGTTTGATTTGAAAATCTCATTGATATGTGAGTGGGTACTTTGATAAAGGGGTGTGTGGCTCTATGTGTGAGGATGGTAGCCTACCATAACAATGGGCAATGTGATAATACTGCTTGGGAATACTTGTTAGATAATGATGAGTAAAGTAAAGTACAAATCATTTGTATCAAAAGTTGTCTTTGCAGAAGATTATGCAAGGCCTTGATGTAAATGTAAAAAGTTGGCCTAGGCCATATATTCAATAGATGACAGTTATCAACTACGGAAGCTATATGTGTGGTAAAAAAAAACAAAATTAATTATTTAAATTTGCCAGGAAACGTCGTCGGACTGGGTATTATGCTTTTCTTTGGCAAAACGTAATCTGCAACAGTCAAGTGGTACAGCGGTCACGTGGTACAAGTAGGAGATCTCAGAACATTCACAGCTTACAAGTTGTAATCACAAGCTCTGCTAGTACATGGACACTTTTTACAAGTTTAAATCTTGTAATTACAACATGGCGTCAACGTAATACGCCTTGGGTTCCCAATAACAAGCAATGTTTTCATAGTGTTTCACAGTGTTTAGTTTTGGGGCAATTCAATGTTAAAACTTACTTATAGGCCTATTTGTCGCTGCATATAAGATTGAAAAGAACAACACTTTTCATCTTTAAAATAAATTAACTTCAAGGGGTGATGCACTGAGAAATCAAATTTTCCTTGAGCTTTTGACATCTAAGAAGTCATCATGTTATAAGAAAATCCTGTTAGTTTCAGAACTGAAAACGTCCTTGTTAGTCCAATAAAGCTTTTATTGACACCAGGCTCTGCAAATGACTCGTTTTTCAAAGTGAAGAATTATGATGTCAAAGGGGACAAAAACACCACCCCTGCAGAAGAAGATCAACTCCTACCTCAACACGGCCGATAGCCCCGCCCACCGATTCGCGCATTACACGCCATATCGTGTAAATAATAAATATCATAGATGCCTACCTCGTGATGACAAACCGGATCAAGCTACCAAGCAATACAAATATTGTGCAGTGCCTGGTTGTGGAAGAAGACAGTCGCTGCATAAGCTTCCTCTGTATTCCAATAGGAATGCATGGATAAACCTTATTTACGTTCCAGCTGATGAGGGTAAAACATTGTCCGTCTGTTCGCTTCATTTTACTGAGGATTGTTTTGTAAACAAGACTGGATTTGCAGACCGATTATGAGTAAAGAACGATGCTGTGCCGTCTATATTGGATCCGACAGGAACTGTGCAACACACGGAGTCGAACATGTATGGGCGAATCTTTCCGTGTGCCATTTTATAACATTGGACGTTTTCAAAACTATTTCCCACAAGTGCATCTACGAGTGAGTTGAAACTCATTATAATATGCAAAACTGTTATTCACTCACAGCAGTGAGCGTTTACTGTTATCCACTCACAGCAGTGGGCGTTTACTTCCAAGCAGAGCCATGTATTCAGATACATGATATCTCAATACATGGCTCTGCTTCCAAGTCTTCAGTGCGAGACACTCAGCGTTTTAGAGTTAGACTCAAAACTAGGGTATAAAATAGCCTTTTACCTATTAATTTTGATGTTTTTGAATGCAAAAACCAAGCAAACGTCATAAGTTGACCTTAGACAACAATATAATACAATTAAAAAAGCCAGTTCATGACCCCTTTAACTTTTAGCCCATCGTGCGTGTGGGATCTGTTTCAGACATGCTATCGTCGCCCCCTGTTGGAGACTGTTATTTGTGCACTCTCCATCAAAACAAGGGTTAATTCAGCTCACTGCAAATGCAAACAGCCCAGAGAACGAACCAGTGGCGCCTCCAGAAATTTTTCGTAGGGGTGGCCAGATGGGGCCAGTTAAAATCTTGGGGTGGCACACCAAAACTACAGTATAAACCATAATTTCAGAATTCTTTTCTACTGTTGTAATAAACCAGCCTGTAGAAAACTATCAGAAAGACTTAAGGAAACTCCTACTGATATACTTTGGTTTATTGTGTAATATTTAATGTTACTAATGATATTAGTAGGGCCCAACTAATATATATTACATTGTATGTAATGATATATATTATATTATATAAAGGGTCCTTGCCCCACAGCAAATTTCCAGATACTTACATAATTGTGATGAATTTAATCATTTTTAAGTTATTAGTTTGCAGTGTACATTACAGTTAACACCTTTAAATATTACATAAATGTATTATGAATTTTT